TCGCTCTCCCAAGTGAGCTAACTGGCCCAATCCCTACATAGGGATCCAAACCCGTGGCCTTGGTGTTATCAGCACCACACTCTCCTGAGTGAGCCACGGGCCAGCTCAGTATGTTTTGTCTTATGCCACTAAATTTGTGGTATTTGTTAAAATAGCAATAGAAAATAAATATAGGAAGAAATGTCATGTCTTTATTTTATTTAAATCAAAGTTTATCCAATGCTGAATCCTCATTATGCTGGACCAGCAGGATATTCAATCTCTGACATTACTGAGGCCCTTTCACCTACCAGTGATATGGTTTCCCCCTCCTCCCATTACACCAGGCCTAATACTGAGTTTCTCTTCAATCAGTTTTTATCATCCAAACTTCCCTGAGGCAAAGAAGCATAAAGGTCTGGTTACCTACTTCAAGTTGGGAGATAAAACACATGTTAACTCCTCAATAAATTGTCTGGCCTTTGGTAAATTGGCTGTATCCCTTAAAGGGTATTTTACTCCCCTTCCTAGCGCCTTGCATTTCCCAGAAGCTGGGTCATTGATAGTGTTTATTCCGATACATGGGTCTGCCCGCAAGCTGATAACCTTATCAAGTGCAAGGGTACTTCAAAAAGTTCATGGAAAAAAAGAATTAAAAGATAACGTGAATCTTTCTATGAATTTTTTTTTTAGCTGGCCAGTACAGGGATTGAACCCTGGACCTTGGTGTTATCAGATCACCCTGCTCTAACCAACTGAGCTAACTGGTCAGCCTTTCCATGAGATTTTTTTTTTTTTGAAAAAGATGACCAGTAAGGGGATCTTAACTCTTGACTTGATGTTGTAAGCACCATGCTCTCCCAAGTGAGCTAACTGGCCATGCCTACACAGAGATCCGAACCCATGGCCTTGGTGTTATCAGCACCACACTCTCCCAAGTGAGCCATGGGCCGGTCCCCATGAGCTTTTTGAAGTACTGCTGTGAACTGATTGCATTGTGTTCCCCAAAGTTCAGATATTAGAAGCTTAATTCCCACTGTAACTGTTGAGGGTCGGAAATGCTATTATAGTAATTGAAAGGAAGAGACTTGAAGAGGTGATACATTGTTGGACTATGCCCTAGTGAATGGATAACTAATGGTGGTTAGGGGCATGGTTCTGAGGGCTTCAAAGGCGAGCACATGAGAGTCTCTCTCTCTGTTTCACCATTTTCTGCCATGCGAGACCCTGCATTGCTGTAAAGCCACCACCAAAGAAGACCCTTACAAGATGTGTTCCCTGGACTTTGGGCTTCCTAGCCTCTGAAACTCTAAGCAATACATTTCATTTTCTTAAAAAGTACCCAGTTCTGTGTATTTTTAAATAAGCAATAGAAACTAATATAGAAAACTGGTACCAGAGAAGTGGGGTGTTGCTTATAACAAGTAGTTGAAAATGTGGAAGCAGCTTTGGAACTGGGTGTTGAGGAGATGCTGGAAGAATTTGGAGCAGTGGGCTAGAAAAAGTCTAGCTGCTGGTAGAAGTTAGAAGACAAGAAAACCAGGGAAAGTTTGGAACTTCTTAGAAACTGGTTAAATTGTGGTGAGCAGAATGCTGATAGGAATATGGACAGTAAAGGCCATTTGAGAAGATCTCAGGTGTAAATGAGAAGGGACTTATTGGAAACTGGAGCAAAAATTACCCTTGCTATGATCTGGCAAGGAACTTGGCTGCATTCTATTCATGCTCCCAAATTTTATGGAATGTGGAAATTCAAAGTGCTGACCCAGGGTATTTGGTGGAAGAAATTTCTAAGCAACAAAACACTTCATGGCTACTTGCAACAGCCAGCGCTGAGTTATGGCAGAAAAGGCATGACATAAAGCCAGAATTTATAATTAAAAGGAAAGCAGAGTGTAAAGATATGGAAAATTTGCAGCCTGGTCATGTTGTAGAGAAGCAGAGACCATTTTCAGGAGAAAAATGCAATGGTGCTAAGATTTGTACAAAAGAAAGAGCTTATCAAGAGAAGTGGGAAAAGACCCTGAAAACATTGCAGAAGCCTCTGAGGTCAACTCTTCCATTACAGGCCCAGAGGCCCAGGGTGACAGAATAATCTTGGGGAACAGGCAAAAGGTGCTCTCCACAGGCTCACTGCCCAGGGCCACCTTGGGATGCTGCTCTCCACACCAGCACCCTAGCTGCTTTGGCTGCTCCAGCCATGGCTAAATTGGTCCCAAGTTTGGCTGGACTCACAACTTTGGAAAATGAAAGCAAAAGCGTTGGTGGCATCTGTGTGGTGGTGGGCCTGCAGGCTCACAGAATGGCAGAGCTGTGGAGGCTTGGGAGCCTCCACACAGACTTCAAAGGATGTACGGAAAATCCTGGGGGCCCAGGAAGAGATCTGTCACAAGGGCAGAGTCACCACAGACAGCCTTTGCTAGAGCAATGCTGAGCAGAAATGTGGGGTCAGAGTTGCAGCAGAGAAACCCCATCAGTATCATATATAGTGGAGCTGTGAGTGTGGGACCCACATGGAGACCACAGAATTGTGGAGATACCAGCATGCAATGCCAGCCTGTGAGAGCTGAAGCATCACCTCAGACCAGGAATGCCATAAAAGTGGAGTTGCCCAAGGACTTAGGGACCCAACCTCCACACCAGTGTACAGAGGAACTCAAACATGGAGTCAAGGTACCTGAGTCACCAGCTTTAAGATTTGATGCCTGCCCTACTGGACTTTGGACTTGCTTAGGACCTGTTACCCCTTTCTTTTGCCTATTTCTCCCTTTTTGAATGGGAATATGTACACTATGATAGTTCCACCATAGTATCTTGGCAGTAGATAACTGATTATGATTGCACAGATGGGATTTTGAAACTTTTGAGTTGAAACAAGTTAAGACTTTGGGAATGGAATGAATGTATTTACCTGTGAGAAGGACATGATCTTCGGGGGACAAAGGTGGAATGCTGTGGATTGATTGAATTGTATCCTCAGAAGTTCATATATTAGAAGCTTAATTCCCACTGTAACTGTCGAGAGTAAGAAATCCTATTATGGTAATTAAAAAGTGAGGCCTTGAAAAGGTGATTAGATTACTGATGGTGGTCGGGGTGTGAGAGTCTCTCTCCTCCCTCTCTGCTCTTCCATTTTCTGCCATGTGAGACCCCTGGGTCACTGTTGCCAATACCAGATGTGATCCCTTGACTTTGGACTTTCCAGCCTCTGAAACTGTAAGCAATAAATTTTGTTTTCTTTATAAATTACCCAGTTGCAGGTAAGCAACAGAAAGGGACTAATACAAGTACCTTTGTATGTTTCCTCAGGCTTCTCAAGTTAAGAGTTCAAAAACCTGGATATTGGGTGAATTTTCTGCTTCTCAGAGGGGAAGATGACTCTCCTTTCTCCCAAATTTGCCTGTATCCTCCTGGATGGGAGTTTTCTTTGATTCTGGTCAATGTCTGGAATAATGCACTTGTAGGGGTTTTTCTTCATAGGGAAGCAAAGATGGAGCACGACACCACTTATGTGGCTATTGCAATATTCTATGCAAAAAATGATGGGGGCTTGAACTAGGGCAGAAGTAGTAGATGAATGGTTGGATTTTCAATATTACTTTGAAGGATAGAGCTAATTATCTGATATGGGGTGTTAAAGAAAAAGCCAAAGATAAGTGGGCTTGTTCAGACTCATCTGCCCTCTCACACCATACAGTTCAAACTCCAGAGGGACCTTAAGTGACGTAAAAGCACATTTGCCTCTTGAAACTGGAGATGAGCAGCTCCCTTTGTTTTAAAGACAGTTACACGAGAATTTAATTTTGACAGCTAAAGAGTTGGTTCTACGACTTAAGTCTACAATATTAATTTATTAAAGTAGTAACTAATAACTTTTGAGGGAAAAGAATGCAGGGCAGTTGAAAACAATAGCCCTGAATTCTATTCACAAACTTGATTATAAGATGATTAAAAAATCCAGTAGTGAAATAAACACTTTAAGAAATACAATACTGCTCTATTACTTTGTTAATGGTGTCTACTTTGTTTTATTTTTAATCCTTCACAACTCTAGAATTAAAATAATTCTCATTGCAAAACGACTCATGACTCAAGAAAACCAAACTTAATTCTTTGTTTAAATATTGTATATTGGTACAAGTAACATAAAACATTAATAGATGAAAAGAAATCAGTACCCATTTTGGGTAAGTGGCATTTCCGCCTTTATTCTAATGTAGACTTCGTTTTGGCTTTTGAAAAACTCAGCTACCAGGCTATACTGCTGTTATCCAGTAGCTGTAAAAACTTGGGCAAGGTAGTTACCTTTCTATGGCTTTTTTCTCAACCATAAAACCCATTTGTACCCTAGGCCATCCCTCCTATACCTTCTGATCCCAGAGGCCTCGGACAATTTAAAAACCTAATTTAACAAATAATTGGAGTCTAATGTAAAACAGTATACCCGATGGCGAGAAGAAATACTAAAGAAGTACAAGACACAGGACACAGGTTGCTGCCCTTCTAGAGCAAGAAATTCACATAATGAAACAAACCAGCCACGAGACCAGTTTTCAGTGAGTATCTCTCTTTTGTTCTCCTTTAACTAAGGGACAAATACATCAGCTGCTGCATCTGCTGTACATCAGCTGGTGCACTCACTGTGGGAATCTAGTAAATTCTTAAACTGCCTTCCTAGGGCGGAAAGTGCAGAATTCCATCTTATTTCCACGTTTAAGGGGGTTTAATTAAGGGAGTTATATTCGGGTTTGGTATCTGAGGTGCTTTCAGATTCCCTTACTTGTCCCGCGTCGCTACCTAATCTCACCTGCCTCCCAGCATAGCCCACACTTTCCTTCCTGGTTCTAGGTGAAACGTCCCACGGCGCACTGACCAATAGGCTGTTCCTTTCCTACAGCGGGGCGGGACCTCAGGCCTAGACTTCGGAGATCCTCCCCCTGTACGTGGCGTGCGTGCATGGCGCCGTGCGACCCGGGCAGGTTCCCCCAGCGCGTGGCGCCCTCCGGCGGCAGTGGGGCCCCATGCGACGGCCTGACTTAAGCGTCTGCCATGGAGCCGCAGAAGGAGGAGCGAGCACTCCGGGACCCTGCGCGGCCGCCCGGGGCCTCAAGGTTTCGGACCCCGAACGAAGAGCAGCGGGAAGGCGGCGCAGCGCCGGAGGCAGCTGCCCTAGGCGCAGAGTTAGACGACGCTAGTGCGGACGGGCTGTGGGAGTTGCCAGTGGAGCCGGCTGAGCGGAGGCCCGAGTGCAGCCGCTGCAGGTGACCGCGGGGCCGGGGGCGGGGACTGAGGCGGGCGGCGGCCTTCGGAGGAGGCTGCGGCGCCTCCTGCCGGGGAGGCGGCGACCCCGACCCCGGCTCCTGGGAGCGTCTCCTTGGGCAGCTCTGTGCCTGGGGCGGCGGGATTGGCGGGTGGATCTTGGAATCACTCATTTGTCCAGGTTCATGGTTATTTAATCTTACTTGCTGCAAGACATTGAGCATATCATGAAATGGGCAGACGTGTAAGTTCTGTTTCCAAGAAACTTGAGTCTGACCGGAGAAGTAAGGCATAATGACAGTAATACTTGTAATCGTTACCACTTACATGCTTAAGTGGTATAGTCATCTCACAATAAAAACAAACAAACAAGCAAACAAACAAACAAACGTAGAATGGATTGGAGGAGAGAGACAAGCAAGGCGGCTACCACAATAGTTAAGAATGTATTCAGAATTCGTTTAGAAATATTTATTGAGCACTTGCTGTGTGCCAGACGCAGTGCTAGGTCTTGGGAATACAGTAATAAATAAAGCAGACCATAGTCCCTGCCCTAAAAGGGCAATGACGGTCTAATGAAGAATAAATTTGTTTGTTTACTTATTTTTAAAAAATTTTAACAGAACTTAATTGAGGAAAGAATGATTCACGAATTGGGTAGCCACCAGAACCAGAAAAGGCTAAGGGTGACTCCTGAACATTTATTAAACAAGCAGTGACAACAAAAACTACTATAATTGAATGCTCACAATATGCCTAACTTTAAGTACTTTTTGGGATTACCTCAGTGTGCTGATGTACTTCAGGTTTGTGAGCTTTGCTTCCCCTGCTTGTTTAATCTCATGCTATTCAGACATAGCAATGTCTTTACCTCCTGGGTGTGCAGGATCATATTCCCTGGTTACTGAAGGGTTCCAGCTATCATCTATCTCTCTGTTGCCCTTCACAATTTAATTATTAGATAGTGCCTCTACTTCCTAACCTTGAAATCACTCCGTATTTTGCTATCAGATCCTACACTGCCCTGAAATGGCTCTCACTAAAGTCACCTGTAAAGTCCACGAAACGAACGTCAGTGGATCCTTTTCTGTTCACTTTTTACTAATCTCTTGGCAGCATTCTGTAGTTGAATACTCACTACGTGAAACTCTCTTTCTTTAATTTCCTTTGATTTTTCTGACTTCTCCGTTCTAGTTTCCTTTGCCCGCTGTACCCAAACTCTAAATGTTGGGCTTCTTCTGGTCTTGGGTCTAGGCTCTTCTCTCTCTTACCCCTACACACTTCTCACTGGGATCTTACCAGTTTTCATAGCAAGTTTCCCTCTACACCCCAAACCTTTTTCCTTAGCACCAGGCTTTTGCATCCATTTAGCAAGTGTTTATTGAGTGCTTTGCTAATTACTGACAGTACAGTGGGGTCCATGTTTATGTGGAGTGTTCTTTCTCTTATTGAATACAGGTAATAAGCTAGCAACCAACCAACCAAAGATGTAATTACAGGCTGGGAAAAAAAAATGCAGGGAAGGAAAGGAATGGGATGGTGTGGTAGAAGATAACTGGATGTTGTCAAGGAATTATCTCTGAGGAGATAGCATTTATATTGAGATTTGAAAGATGAGAAGGATCCAGCCAGCAGAAAAGCATTGCAAGGGGAACAGAAGGATAGAATGTGATTGAATGTCCTTACCACTTGAGTACTTGAAGTATCTTACCTTAGACATTTTGATCTTATCCCAGGGCTGGATTGTAAGACCTCAGAGGAAGGGATCTTGAATATAATGATATTTTTATATTGTCTTAGATGTGCTATATGTAGTCGATACACAGTAAACCTTTGAGGAGGATGGATAATTTGTGACTAGAAGAGACCGTGTATTTGAACAAAGGGGTATATGAATACAATTTATTTAAACAAGTTGTCTGAAGGGATTAGGGAATAACATTTAAAAATTTTTGAGGGGTCTCTATAGTTGCTGAAAGAACAGTGTTTCAAATATAAATCTAAGGCTAAATTATTGTACTTTGTTGTGTAGATTTTGCTCTGTTCCAAACTGCTAATTATAAATGCTGTATATAGTTTTAAAAATTTAATTAATCTGCTATGTTTAGCAGAAATTTATAATTTTTTCTGATCTTCTGTTTTAAAGATAAAAATGACTTGCTGGATTTTAGTTTGTTTTCAGTTAGATTTGGTTAAATCCTAGGGTTATGATTTATTTAAACTTTTCTGCACTTTGCTTATTTCTAGTGAAATTTACTGCCTTTTTAAAGCTCTTATCCCTTCTGACATGCTATGCATTCATTTGTTTTAATTGGGTAGAATACAGTTCTAGAGTTATGGAGGATAGTTAGGTGTTATTAATAAAATATCAACTAATCGATAGCTCTTTATATTTTTATTTCATTTGACTGTTAGAGTTCTACTAGTTCCCTGGGTGAACTTTTTTTTTTTTTTTTCCTTTTTGTCTTTTTTCGTGACCGGCAACAGATCGCAACCCTCAGTGTCGCGCCTGTACTGGACCGGGACCAGCAACAGGATTGCAACCCTCGGTGTTGTGCCCACACCTCACTCAGGCAGTGAGCGGCCGGTCTGTACGTCGGATCCGAACCCTCGGCGGGAGCGCCACCGCGCTCCCAAGTGGTGCACTGTAGCAGTGCGCCACCGGGCCGGCCCCCTGGGTGAACTTTTTCACATATATACTTATAATAATTTTAAAAATGCATTCTTAGGGCCGGCCCGGTGGCGCACTGGATAGTGCGCCGCTTGGGAAGCGCGGCGGCGCTCCCGCCCGAGGGGTCGGATCCCGCATACAGACCGGTTCCCGCTCACTGGCTGAGCGAGGCGCGGGAGCAGCACCGAGGGTTGCGATCCCGTTGCCGGTCCCCGGTCCGGTACGGGGGCAACACTGAGGGTTGCGATCCGTTGCCGGACACGGAAAAAAGACAAAAAAAAAAAAAAA